CTGCCTGGCCGTCCGCCCTCTGGGCCTCACTCCAGGCCTGGATTATGGAACCGAACAGAGCTGAGGGGTACGTATGCTGGGTCTCAAATCATAGGCTGCCAGCCCGGTGTGCCGAAGGGGACAGACCTGGCCAGGAAGAGAGGCTTGTGGGCCCCGTGACAAAGGCATTGCTTCTGACAACCCCTGCACGTGCCAGATCCTGTCCTGGACCCCTGACGGCCACACCTTGTAGGGGGCACTGACCCAGTCCTTGGGGAGCTCACAGGTGTGTCACAGAGCGTGAAAAAGACCTGCCCAGACCTCGGTCCATGGCCCACTGCTCCCGTTTTCCAGGTGAGGAAGGAGATGGAGCTCTGAGCAGCTGGCAGCCGTGGGCTCCAGAAGCGAGCATTGGAGTTGGCTGTGGCTGCTGTTTGTAGGAAGTGTTTTTCTTGGGTCGAAGATGCCAGCAGCCTGCCCAAATGTGGTGCTATCTCTTACAGACCAGCCGGTTCCTGCTGGAGGCTCCGGGTGTCATCCGGGGAGACCATGTCCAGGCCCCATGACTGCCTGCTGTGGCTGCTCCGGGGTGCCCCAAGCCAGCGGGGCTGCACCCTGTTCATCATCAGCTTCAAGTTCATGTTTTTGGTTTCCGTCGTGATCTACTGGCACATCGTGGGGGAGCCCAAGGGCCAAGGACAGCTCTCTAACCTGCCTGTCGACATTCCCTGCCCCCACTTGATGCCTCCAACACCACCGTCCAGCGCCCCCTCTCCGGGCAACATCTTCTTCCTGGAGACCTCAGACCGGACCAACCCCAACTTCCTGTTCATGTGCTCAGTGGAGTCGGCGGCTAGGGCCCACCCTGAGTCGCGGGTGATGGTCCTGATGAAGGGGCTGCTGGGCAGCAACGCCTCGCTGCCCCGGCACCTGGGCCTGTCACTGATGAGCTGCTTCCCCAACGTGCAGATGCGCCCGCTGGACCTGGGGGAGCTGTTCCGGGACACGCCCCTGGCAGCCTGGTACGCGGCGGCGCGGCGGCGGTGGGAGCCCTACCTGCTGCCGGTGCTCTCCGATGCCTCCAGGCTGGCGCTCATGTGGAAGTTCGGCGGCATCTACCTGGACACGGACTTCATCGTCCTCAAGGACCTGAGGAACCTGAGCAACGCGCTGGGCATCCAGTCCCGCTACGTCCTCAACGGGGCCTTCCTGGCCTTCAAGCGCCGCCACGCGTTCATAGCGCTGTGCATGCGTGACTTTGTGGCCCACTACAACGGCTGGATCTGGGGCCACCAGGGCCCGCAGCTGCTCACACGCGTCTTCAAGAAGTGGTGCTCCATCCGCAGCCTGAGCGAGAGCCACGCCTGTCACGGCGTCACCACCCTGCCCCCCGAGGCCTTCTACCCCATCCCCTGGCAGAACTGGAAGAAGTACTTCGAGGATGTCAGCCCTGACGAGCTGCCGCGGCTGTTCAACGCCACCTACGCCGTCCACGTGTGGAACAAGAAGAGCCAGGGCACGCGCTTCAAGGCCACGTCCAGAGCGCTGCTGGCCCAGCTCCATGCCCGCTACTGCCCCACGACGCACGAGGCCATGAAGATGTACTTGTGAGGGGCCTGCCAGGTCATCGCCCCAGCCCCGCATCCTGATGGAGAAGGACTCTTGGCCGTCTGCCCTGGGGAGGCAAGATGGGAGGGCCCGGAATCGGGGCTGGCGTGGGGGAGGGCAGGGAGCTGGCGGGGAGCTGGCGGCCCAAGAGGTTAAGTTATTGGAGGAAACGCTAAAGGCCCTGGGATTCGCTCTCTTCAAGTCAGGAGGAGGTAGGAGCGACACCACTTAGGCCAGTGCACTGCCTCAGGGTAGAGGTGACAAGTGGTGGGGGAAGCCCCCTCCCGCCCCGCCCTTCCCTGCCCCCCCCCTCCGCTAGAGTCAGCGGGAGTGAGCAGGGCGAGCATCCTGGGTCTGCTGGGAGGTGGGAGCATCCTCCAGGCATGATGGAAGATGGCTAACTGGGACCAAGGTGCCCATGGTGGGAGCATGGGGAAGCCCAGGAAAGGGGAGAGGAGGCCGTCGGTGGGAGAGCTGCCTGTAAACTCAGCCTCGTGAGCCTGGGGCAGGGCTTCGCTCTTTTCTGGCTTTGATTTCTCTTTCAGAGGGGCTGAGGCCGGTAGACCTGGCCTGGGGAGCATTCCGGGAGAGGCCCCGTCTGTCCGCCGTATCCTTTCTTCTTTGCAGAGATGTTGCCCGGGTGACATGTGCCAGCTGTTCACTCTAGGGGCTTGGGGACGTGGCGTTCTTTTCGCTCGGGGTAAAGCATTTTAAAGGAAACCCTCTCTCCCTACCCTGCTCATAATAAACACAGGAAAATAATAAATATAACAAAGGTGACTCACTGACATCCAGTGCTTTGTGGTTGATAAAAGACATTCACTTGCTCGGCCTTCTCCAGCCCCGTTCTGCAGATGGGAAAGAGATGGGGCTGGAGGTTGTGGCAACTTTCCTGAGGTATCTAACCTGCCTGGATCAGAAGGGCTGGGTCAGAGGAACAGCTGCTCTCCTGGTGGTGGGGGGAGGCCCTATCTGGTTGGTGTTGAGGAAGCCGCCTCAGAGCCCAGCCCTGCGGCCGGGCTGCAGAAGCCCTTCCCTACAGAACTGGGGGTGCTGCCAGGATCTCTGGGGCTCGGCAGGCTGCTCTTTGCCAGCTGAGGGGGGAGGTGTTTAGAGGCCTCTGGATTCTGCCTGCAAATGGTCTTGGGCAGCCTGGTAAGGACGTGAGCTCCCCGGCCCTAGGGGTATTCAAGAGCAGGTGATGTTTTCGATGCAAACAATGAGTTATGTCGGTTATTTCTCCAACCACAGTATCGTTCCACCTATCTTAAATTTCTTTTAGAATGAGCAGGTTTTATTTTAATAATACAATT